GGCGGGGTGGGGGAAGGCGGGGGCGACCGGGGCGGGGTGCGCTGTGCCGCGGGTGAAGAGAAGCTGTCAGACCAGACGCCCTCAGGATCAAGTCAGGGTCCGCATTCCTACTCCTGCAGCACGATGGAGTCCTAATAATAACAATAATGAGCTAAAAGAAGCTTATATGCATAACTTGCGAAGAGCAGGAAACTGTGAGTAGCCAATGAGCAGAAAGGGTGAAACTCGATGGCGGATTTGTCCCTTCTGTACAAAAACGTGTCTCTCTTCTCCATGGAACCAGGGAGCTTTACCACCCTGAGGGAGGGGGTGTTCTGGGGACTTTTGGTAGTGACCCAAAGTGAATGAATATCCCAGCTGTAGTTTGTAAGATTAAGCTTAATATGACCTACCTGCTGTCGTACCTGGCGTTGATGGCAGCTGAGTGATCTCTCTCTTCCCAATTCTCTGTCCTTAAGTCAGTATTAAAATTTCTTATTCTCTGAAAAAAGCCAGTATAAAATATAAGAGAAAATGTAAGCTCGGCTCGTATTTGCTGAAGTATTGACTATCTGCTGCTGAAAATGCATAGATTTTTAAATCACCTGGATGAGTTTGAAACTGAACAGAGTATACCTCAGAAGGGAGAGTCATGATAATTCTGACTTCCTTAGGTAGCCGTTATTATACTGTCATGCTTTTGATTTGTTTTGGACAGCTGCTCAAAATTCATGGAGCATGTATAATTAAAGAGGTTTTTTGCATCCCTTTCCTCAGCTCCCACAACAATGTCTTGTGTTTTTATTGTGTTTGGTTTAGGAGTATTTTATTGATCAGCTGAGGTCAGATGGAGTTGTTCATCTTCCTCGGCGTGTTACCAATGAAATTACAAATAATACTCGGTACGAGTTTTACACACAAGGAGGAGTCATCTTTGCAACGAGTCGTATCCTTGTGGTGGATTTCCTTACTGACAGAATTCCTGCAAACCTCATTACCGGTAAGGGTTTAATGAAATAAAGGTAAGGCTGTTTTGTTTGGAAATACATAAATCTTAATTCTGTATGAAGAGTTCCAGTCATCAGTGTTGAGACTGAAGAATTAGTCCTTTTTTACCGTGAAGACGGAGGTAAAAGGAGCAATCTGTAGTGTTGGGTTGTTTGGGTTTTTTATTTCTGTCTTTGCTCCAAACCCGTTAGCTTTATTTACTCAAACAGTTTGAGAACATCCACGTTATTTTTAGTTAATGTGTTTGTGTGATTTTCTGATATCAATATCTGGCTGGAAAACAAGTCAGCTGCTAAACGATGCCATTGAAACATAAAATTCAGACTGGTTTTCCAAGGAGAATAATTGATTGCAGTTGGTGAAATAACTCTCAGTAAATCAGTAAATGACCTGTTACTGAAGCTGATTTTTAAATGTCACATTTTATCAACCCTGCACACTACCTATTTTTGTTTCATTACAAAATTACTTCTGATGACTTTTCCCATCAAAAAATAGCAGTATCTTACTAACTTTTGTCTTGACACATCTTGGACACTAACTAAATAGTAGCCGGATGAAGTAATGCTGGTACTGTCCTTGTACATGTTTGGGGAATAGCTTGTGACCTTTTTGGTGTTACATAGAAGTTCTGCATGAAAGATGTTGCAATTACCTTTTTGCTCTCATGTTCTTTTCCCCTTCTCCCTGACCCCCATTGTTCTTGTCTAATCTGGAAACCCTGTTAAAGCCTGGAGAGCTAGTAAAATAGATATCTAAGACCCAGGAATGTATTTTACTGCTACCTAAATGTTGATAGGGCTAAGCATAACTGAATGTTGAATGCTTAGAAAAATGTAAGGGTTTGCTTCAGAAGCTGTATCCCCTTCTTTTTAGTCAGTGGATGACAAGCTCTAATCTGTAAGACGTTTTGAACAGTGTTGTGCTAGAGTTAAGGGACACCAGATGAGTCAGTTCTGATACAAGTTAAGAAAAAAGTGAACAAGTCTTCGGGCAACCTACTTTAATATCTCTTCTTCCCCTTGACGCCTTCCTCTCTACCTTTCTGGCCTACCAAATAAGGGGGGTGGGGAAAGAGCAAAACACACCTTTGGGCTTTGTGTGTATGAAAAGAAGTAGTACACTAAAAGTGTTGAAAAGGTTTAAAACCGAGCGCTGGCCTCTGATGACGCAGAGCTGTTACAGGTGTCGCGGTGCCACTAGAGGTCAGTGTGGCAGCGGCTTTGATTGACTTGCTGCTTCATTTAAAACCCGGGTAACGGATGGTTCTGTTGGAAACATGTATTATCTGTGTGCAATTGTATGACACTTGTAATAGTGTTTCTTGAGGAGTTAACATAGCAAAACCAAAAAAATCAGTTGTTTCCAGGTGTTATGAACGACATTTGTAAAATCAAAGTAGAATTGTATGTGAATTGACATCTGAACTCCTAAATTCAGCTAAATGAAGGTAAGGCATTATCACTGCAGTAAAGAATTATTATTTCTGGTGAGTTTGGCCAAAGAGAAATCATGTACTTAGTAGCACAGTAAAACTGATATGAGTTGGTGGAGTAAACACTACCAGGTTGTTCCTACCAAGGCTTACACAGCAGTATGAACTCACTTAATAAGCAGAGAAGTATTGACTAGAAGTAGGAAGGTTTTATAATAACACATAGTCTTACAGTCCTGTTACAAATTCCGTGTCTCCTGTAATGTCCTTTCAGAGCCACATCTTGGCCAACTGGAAGATGTTCAGAAATGAGTACAATCATTATTATGTCCTGACAGATTTGCTTCATAGGAGAGATGGAAGAATATCTAGACAGAAAACTACCTTTTAGTGGATTATTCCACGACTTGATCACGAATGGCTAGCAGTTGTGGGGAAGTCTTTTTTTCTAACAGATGATTTTTCCTTTACAAAGCAAAGGCATATCAGAGGCTGGGTGCTGAGTTGAAGAAACTTGTTACAGAAATTAAATGCACTGTAAGTTTGTCAGCTTATGTAGGCACAAGGTAAAACCTGTGATGTGTGATGTCCTTTGCTTCTGTTTTGTTAGACCATGTGTTATTTCACTGAAAGCTGTGAACAGGTACAAGTACCACATAGGCCTCATTTCACTGGGATAGAGTGAAAAAAAATGTGATGTGCTGTTTAACACAATTGAGTGTGAGGGGAAATTAAGCCTTGTTTTTAACAGGTCTTGGCTGAATGAAGCGTAAATTCTGGAAGTATTCACCTCAAATGCTTAATGTGGATAAACTATTGTTTCACTTCTCTATACTAAAATGCACATGGTAAATCTTTGTCTCCTAATACACCCATAGCCTTGCAGAAAATTGGTGGTGTACTCATACCTTCTGTCCCCAAGTGTGAATATGAATACTGGGGGGAGCGGGGGGAGGGAAGGAAGCAGTATAAATTTTTCAGAGGTTCCTTGGTTATGTCGTGAGCTGTTACCAATGAAACATACTTGAGAGTCTGTAATTCTGGAACTTCTGTAACAAATTAATTCAAATATTGCAATCTTGGATGTCTCCAACTTGCTTAGTTGTAATACTGTGTTAAGTCGTGCATTTCCTCTTACTCCTTTTAAAAGGCTCAAGATCAAGTTTTGCCTTTGAAGATTCTTTACTTCTAAGATAGTAAGTCCTGCCGCTCACACGCAGGGTCTTTTTGCTAAAGATGCATCGTTAGCACAGTTCTGTTACGTGGGCATTCCGTGGTACTGAAACTGAGGAGTCGATTGGTGTGAACCCCTGAAAGTTTGTGCAACCATTGCTTTAGAAGATTTAAATTCCTTCTGTACTTTATTTAAGAAGAAGCATTAAAAGACACTTTTGAGGACAAATTGGACTTTTCTTTACCTTTTTGTAACTTTAAAACCTTTTATTTTGCCAGGCGTTCTGGTATACAAAGCACACAGAATCATTGAGTCCTGCCAGGAAGCGTTTATCTTGCGACTTTATCGCCAGAAGAACAAGCAAGGCTTCATTAAAGCTTTTACAGATAATGCGGTTGCATTTGACACTGGCTTTTGCCGTGTGGAAAGAGGGATGAGAAATCTTTTTGTCAAGAAACTCTATCTGTGGCCAAGGTAAGGCACCACTGTACTTTTCTGGAGAGTTAAAATTAAAAAAAAAAAAAAAAAAAAGATGAAGAGTGTTACAACAGGTTCCTGAGAAAATGAGGTGTATACAATCACACTGCTCAGCTCTGTTCTCTTGTATTCCCAAACAAATGTCATTCCTTTTTTGACAGAAGTGGTCTTAAAGATTCTAAATTTCCATAAGTATTTTGGGAACAGATTACATGTATAGGGAGCTGAACCTTATGGCATATGCAAGGACTGTCCTTGCAGCCAATGGAAATCGCAGCAGAAAGTGATATTCTCAGTAGCTTAAGAAAAACTCCACTTATGAAATCATTTAAGCTATGAAGTGACAGAACACAGTGTCTCAGTTCTGGGATTCATGGAGGTATTTGTTTACAGCTGTGATGAAACTCCATGGATCTCTTTCTATGTGTTAATCTTCTTTTACATGTATGTTGTGTGAAGAGTACTTCCTGATGACTGATAAAACCAAATTGCCAAGTTTGTGACTGCCTTTCAGGAGCAGAGGCACAAGTGGAACTGGACACTTAGCTGAAGTGCTCTTGCCATGGTCAGGAGTTCTGCCCATTTGTTCCTTTAGTCCGGGCTGGGATGTGTTTTGCTCCATCTTAACCTACTGATATTCTGCGTTGAAAACTCTCCAACAATCTGTCTGTCAGTATCACAGAGAAGGAGAAATGGACATAACTAGGATAGGAAAGGTTGAATAGAAGCTCTCTACATTTTCTTCCTTGGCTTCTGACTGGTGCAAAGACCTGGGGCCACCACACGCGGGAAGGGAAATGCCCGCTGAGTTTGAGAGGTCAGCTGGCATGGCGTTCTGTTACTAAAACTCAGCTGGCATCTAGCTAGCTGTACAGCCAGATTGGCTATACGGGCCTCTTCTAACAAGGACCTGCTGCTCATAATCAGCAGCTAGGAATGTCAGAATCTGCTCACGGATCCGTGTGATTCCAAAGGATTTATGAACCCATTCCAGTTTCTCCCTTAAGAGATTTTTTGGTTTTACTTTAACATTTGTTGCATGTAACAATGATGCAGAACCTAGTGCAGATTCTTTCTGTGGGTCGTTCACCAGCACTGTAGCATGACTGGAATGACTGCAGCCATAGCTGAGGAACAGATGGTTTTCTGAGGCTGTTCATAAGATTGAAGTCTTCACACCTGTAGAAACTGATTTTTTTTTTTTGCAATTAACTTGTTTATGTTTAAAACAATTTTTAACTATAGTTTATACAAACTTTTTAATAATTGTAGGTCAAGCCAACCATCCATGTAAATGTTAATAAGCTGTTTTCCTCTTAGATTTCATATAGCAGTGAACTCATTTTTACAGAAGCATAAACCTGAAGTGGTGGAAATACATGTGTCAATGACCCCTGCTATGCTTGCTATCCAGACTTCAATCCTGGACATTTTGAACGCCTGTCTGAGAGAACTCAAACGTTACAATCCAGCTCTTGAAGTAGAAGACCTATCTTTAGAAAATGCTATTAGTAAACCTTTTGACAAGGTAACCATCTTGATTGTTCTGCTGTGCCTAACTAAAGGGATGTAGATGTTCGGACCATCTGCCATGCAAACCAAAACATTATTTGTAAGATGAATAACCCGCAGCAACTGAATGTTTGCACGTGACCTGTTTATTACTGGTACAGGGAGAGAAACTGTGTCAATCTGTGATGGTGGTGGTATGGTTGCCAGTAGGGTCTTTGGTGTATTGGCATTTTGTTCTCCCGTCGTTTCCAAAATCCCTACAGAACATTCTGATTCATGGTTGGTAGTGGTTTTGATGATGATGATGGCTGCAATTTCAGCTCAGAATACTCGAGAGATGAGTATGCAGTTATTCCCCTCCCACACCCCTTCCCCC